ACCACGAGTATGCAGAGATACGATACTGTGTACTGCCCTAGTACTAGGGGCATATCCTAGTGACGGACGCTGTGAAATGATAGAAGTGCTTGGCACAAGAGAGACTTTGATTAATTTTTTTTTTTTTTTTTTTTTTCAACAAGTTGGCCGTCTCCCACCGAGGCAGGGTGACCCAAAAAAAAGAAAGAAAATCCCCAAAAAGAAAACACTTTCATCATCATTCAACACTTTCACCACATGCACACATTATCACTGCTTTTGCAGAGGTGCTCAGAATACAACAGTTTAGAAGCATATACATATAAAGATACACAACATATCCCTCCAAACTGCCAATATCCCAAACACCTCCTTTAAAGTGCAGGCATTGTACTTCCCATTTCCAGGACTCAAGTCCGACTATATGAAAATAACCGGTTTCCCTGAATCCCTTCACTAAATATTACCCTGCTCACACTCCAACAGATCGTCAGGTCCCAAGTATCATTCGTCTCCATTCACTCCTATCTAACACGCTCATGCACGCTTGCTGGAAGTCCAAGCCCCTCGCCCACAAAACCTCCTTTACCCCCTCTTTCCAACCCTTTCGAGGACAACCCCTACCCCTCTTTCCTTCCCCTATAGATTTATATGCTTTCCATATTAAATTGTATTGAGATGAGTAATCAGAAATACAGTGGACCCCCGCATAACGATTACCTCCGAATGCGACCAATTATGTAAGTGTATTTATGTAAGTGTGTTTGTACGTGTATGTTTGGGGGTCTGAAATGGACTAATCTACTTCACAATATTCCTTATGGGAATAAATTCGGTCAGTACTGGCACCTGAACATACTTATGGAGTGAAAAAATATCGTTAACCGGGGTCCACTGTAATGTGAAAGACATTAATGCAACTCCTAGTGCGACCGTCTGTCGTGTTGGGGGTGGGTGTTGCAACCCCTGAATGGGTTACAATGATTATTATGTATATATATAATGTATATTATCTTTTCATATAATTTTATATTGCTTATATTTGCGATAATAGCTAAATCGTAAATATATTGCTTTATATTCTTATTTGACTTATGTTGTTAGGATGTACATAATATGTGCTCAGTTCAAGTCTTGATTGTCAAACTACTGTAATTATCGCTTGTCGCTCGTTATACTGCCGGCTTCTGAGCTGTGCTGTCCACGGGGCTATCACGTGATCGAGGGGGGGGGTGTCCTCACCTCTCGTGAAGTATTCAGTCTGCTCTAGACTCACTTGGTGGTCGGACAGATTGTCTGTCTCATTATTCTTGTTAGTTCTGTAGAACTCTGTTCACAGAACATTGTATAGACTTAGTGATTTTCGACGTTGTACTGAGGTTGTGTGTCATATAGACACTCTGAGCATCTCAGGTCCCGAGCTGTAGCTTATGACCTAATTTGTACTGGTTTCTGTGTATTGTCACAGTCAGGGTTTTTCCTATGCTGAACTTAGATTCAGTAGTATGGGAGTTTTGTAACTTTTGTGGAGGATCTGCTGATGGTCCCTACTTAGTGTCGTTATATTATCTCCTTGATCCTGATTGTGTCGCAGTCGCTTGTTATATGGCTATTGGGCTTAGCATTCTTTTCATTGTTCAAGCAGACTGTTCTGGTTGCCAGTCGGTCAAGAAGTTAGTTTATGAGAGGACTTTGTCAGTCACTTGTTTAAGTCTAGTCGAGTCGTGAGACATAGCGAACTACTTAGAGCACTTACACACATACACAAACTTACTTGTACATATTTGTAATATCTTATTAACCCTTTGACTGTTTCAGGGCCCTCTCTGAAACTGTCATTCTATGTCGCCAAATATTCGAAAAAAAAAAAAATTATTTTTTCTTATGAAAATGTTAGGAATATTTTTACTAGTGTTTTAAGCCTAAAAAAAATTTTTTGCCATCAGTACTTACCGAGATATAGAGCCGCAAAGTTTGCAGAAATCGACGTGCGTATGGCAACAGCGGCGACTGCCGCCCACCCGGTATTCTTTTATTTCCTCTAATTCAATAGGTTTCTTGCATTTTCAATATTTTTCTTTTCCAGGTAACTTATGTGGCCTGTGAGACCAATGTAAGGTGCATTGTTCAAATATACACTCATTATTTTACAACACAATAACAGAACAAACTTTATCACTATTAGTTTGTGTATACACTTTGTTTACACAAACAAACAATACAAAACAATGTTTATTACTATTGTTCCATAATATATATACATATGTACAGTCACTAAGCACGTTCCTAGAACTGCTGCAGCTTGTGGAACTCTTTGAAACATGGGTATATGCAGAGGGGCACTTCACACTCCTCACACATAAAACGAGTGTCTCTGCGTGTTTGTGGGCGTTTTGTGGTATGCATACATACATAACACCTCTTCTGAGCATTTTTCTTGGCAGTAGTAGGAGGCAGTTGTATGGGGTAGTGATCACCAGGCCTCAAACGAGATGACGTCTGTGGGCGCTGGTCTATTGCAGGAGTTGCTCCTTTGTACTTTGCAATTATTTGTCTGATTACTGACAGGCAAAATTCACCATATTTTGGTGTTTTGTTTGTCTTCAACTTGTATATGTTATAAGCATTTAGCATAGAGATATCAACAAGATGGAAAAAAAGTTTGATAACCACTTATAACTCTTGCGTACACAGTCTGCAAACCCAATCTGCATGTCACATTTGTCCACTAAGCGCATATTGAGGTTGTAGTCCATGACAGCTGCAGGCTTTAGAATGGGTTCATTGGTCTCTCTGTTGTCCTGCCACTGGGTACCATTTCGTTTGTGTGAAACTGATGTCAACAATGTGACATCACGTTTGTCATGCCACCGAAATGCCATGATGTCATTGGCAGCAAAGGCTTGCACCTCACCTCTGCGAGTGCCAGCGTCGAACCTTGGCATATGTTTGCGATTACCACGCACTGTGCCACACACGTCTGTCAAGTTCACTCGCAAGAAATCACTGAGTAAGGGGCTTGTGTACCAGTTATCAGTAAATAACATATGCCCCTTACCAAGATATGGTTCCATCATGTTCGAACCACATCACCAGAGATATCCAATAACTTCATGGTATCTCTCAAAGTATTACTGCCAGTGTACACAATAATATCTAAAACAAGAGCACTTCTGCAATCACACAGTACAAATAGCTTTATACCAAAGCGTTTCCTCTTGCTTGGTATATATTGCTTGAATGAGAGTCTTCCTTTGAATAAAATCAAGGACGACCAAATAGTTTCCTCTTTTGTCCTGGTACAGGCGAAGGTGAATGTGAACAAGCCGGCACAGCACCAGAGGTCGAAGGTTGTGGGTCATCTGGGTTTTCGTCACTATTTACGTTATCCTGGGCACTTTTTTCGGTAACACTCACTTGAAAACCCTTGAATTCACTGTCACTGACATTTTCATCGCTGTTAGAGCTATCACTTGGGAACAAAAGACCTCCAATCCGCCGAGGAGTGAGGAACTTCTTACCGAGAGGCATGGTGAAAATGGACTGACAACATGGCGTTCCCACAATGCACCGCTAGGTCCCAGATTTTTTTCACAGGGTGCACACCGACCACTGAGACCCATTCTCTCCCGTGTAGGCCTACCAGGCCTTTGGCGCGCGATTTGAAGCCGCTAGAATTTGTGCGTATAAATACGTCAGAAACATTGGCTCGTAAGACGTATTTATACGTCGGAAACAGTCAAAGGGTTAAATGTTAATGTACCAGACGGTACTTAAGAATTATAAATGTGATATGTGCTTTCAGCACAATAATATTGAACTCGAGAGATTGATTTTATTTTGATTGCTGTGATTAATTTAATTTGATAATATACCTTTAGACTTAATAAATTTATTAAATTTTAATTTCTCTAGTTAGTAGCCTACCAGTTGTAATCCTGAAGCAATATTGAATAATACTGAATTTTAATGGATAATTGGACAAGGATACTGACTACTTGTTACGAAAACCCAGTAACAGGCTGGATGCTAGAAGGGCAGTCCTTTCTAGTATTCACTGGAGATCTCTAAGCTTTTAGAATCGCGTTTTTTGTAACATCCTTTCCCTTGGAACAGCATATGACACACTACCAGACCACAGGCTACGTTGTATATACTGCCACTTCACTGGGAAATATTCACCCTCACTGTCGCAACTAGAACTGCTTTCATAGCTTTGAAATTACATCACTATCACTTTCACTGCTCACATCTGAGTCTTGTACACAGGCAAATAGTTTCCTCTTTTGTCCTGGTACAGGTGAACGTGAACGAGCCGGCCCAGCACCAGAGGTGGAAGGTCGTGGGTCATCTGGGTTTTCATCACTAATTATGTTATCCTGGGCACTGTTTTCAGTCACACCCGCTTGAAAACCATGGAATTCTCTTTCACTGACACTTCCATCACTGTTAGAGTTATCACCTGGGAACAAAAGACCTCCAATCTGCCGAGGAGTGAGGTACTTCTTACTGCAAGGCATGGTGAAAATGGACTACCAAGATGGCATTCCCACAATGCATTACTGAGTCCCAGATTTTTTTCACAGGGTGCACACCCACCACTCAGACCCATTCTCTCTCATGTAGGCCTACCAGCTTTCTCCCACTTGATTTGAAGCCGCTAGAATTTACGCGTATAAATACGTCAGAAACAGTGGCGCGTTAAGACAGTTGAATTCACTGACTAAAAGCTTCTATCCTATTTTAGCCCATTCTAAAGCACATCCAGCAAGAAGAAGCCCATATGAGTCGGCTATCATCCAGGTTTATACATACTAAGGGTAAAGGGACAACAAGTGTAAGGAGACTGACCAATACAACTGCACCCATTTGGGATCAGGTCCAAGTTCTTCGGGTGAGAGCCAAAGTTGCTACCACTGAACTACAAGCCACTATCTTGGCAACAGTATTACTTCATATAATCTGACATTAATATTGGTTAACCAGGTGTCTAAGATCATGAACACAATCATTTTACTTACCGTTGAACGTTTAAGAGGTGCTGAAGTTGCAGAGTTTTTCATCAGTTTGGTCTCATGTCCTGTATACACCACCAGGCCAAACACCCAGTTGGTATTTTGTAATTTAGCTCCACGCAGCAGCACTTGGTCTGGGCTCAAAGGAATGGCTCTGTTCAGGGAATATCACAGTGACTACCTCGACACTTGTATGATGTTCATTTCTTGTATACAGAACATATAGCCTTGAGAAAATAACTTAATGACAATTTCTAGCTATGAAAGCTTGCCTAACTCTTCATAAAATAATGCTTCACTAACCTTCATATTGCACTCGTACTCTATGTATAAAAAATAAGAAATATAAATCTTTCTATACACTATACCATACATTTTTAAGTAAAAAAAGAAAAGTAAAATTTTAACTTTTTCTCTTTAGACAACATAAACATTCCTCCTTCATGCCTTTGCTTATCTGCTACTAAACAGTTTGACATTTCAATGGGCCAACAGGCCTGCTGCAGTGTTCCTTGATTCTTCTGTTCTATGTTTTTAATTCTCCAGTTTTCAGTAAATTACCTGTAACACTTAATAAATAGTAATATCTATTTGCAAATTATTATTACTTTTGCCTTTACATGCTGAAATAAAAAATAAAAAGTCAGCAAGACTTACGGCCGACTTAGCTCCTTCAGGTTGCCAGTAAACTGGTGAAGAAATCTATTAGGTGCTTCACATTCAACTTTGCCTGATAAATTCATAAGATCTCGAGCCTCCAAGAGGTGCGCTGTCTGGGGTAGGCCTTGACGAATTTTCAGGTTGGTTTCGCCATCTAGGTTGGCAGTTTCAACATAGCATAGCGCCTGGGGTTCACTAGGGGAAAACATTCATTTCTCATTAAAGAAGAAAAGATGATTAATTCAATAAATCTGTAGAAACATCAATAAAGAAATTTTAGTGTACAGTGCATGCATTGTAAAAGCTACCCAAGTAACCTACATATGCTGCATCAAAAATATATGCTTCAGATTAACAATGCAACTTCACAAAATAATTGATCACGACTGTATAATAAATGAGGAGGGAAGCCAGATCTTTGTTAGGTTAGGATGTGGTTTAGGTGATTTCCAGTTTAGATCCCCAAGCACTTATTCTTTAAGTGAAATAAGAATACATTAGAGTAACACAGAGTAATCATGTTTGAGGTACACTGTAAAATATCTTAGAATGTCCATTATTTTGGAAAGCTTCTTAGAAATGTGTTGGATGTGAGCACTGAATTTTTGTTTGTTGTCAATGTGTATACCTAAGAATTTAACCTTATTTTATCTTTCAATGTGTGCTTTATTTACTGAATATTTTTAGCTTTGTTCCCAACCACTATGTACAAGGTCTTGTCAAAACCAAGTGTGAGTTTATTGGTTGCTATCCAAGCAGATATCTTTATGAGCTTCTCTTAGCAAATTTAGTTCAGCCCAGAATTTAATTTATATAGCCTTATGCCTGGATGAATAACTTTTTGCTCTTTCTTTGAGTAATAATCCCAATCATTATTTTTTTTGTCAATGGAGCCAAGGATGTTGTTGGTTAGCCATGGACTATTTTGTCTCACTGGTGTGACCCATCTGGTTTAAAAGGATAATCATAATTAAAAACTATTGAATTTTTAGTAGAAATTTGTAGACACGAGTTAACGTCTGGATCATTGCTAAATTCTGTTTGCCAGTCAGTGATCCTGACTGCTATGGTCAAGTTATTCACTTATGCCTCATCATTGAGGCACCAATATAGTAAACAGTCAGCTGTATTGTTGATGTGGTAATGATCATTTGTATTGTTGGTGATAATGACAGCTTCTAGAGGACTTTTGTATGTGTTCAGATTGATTAGGTGAAGAAAAAATAAAAATTTCAGTTTTTCTTCTATTTGGTTTGCTCTGCCTTGGTGGGAGACAGTTGCTGTGGTTAAAAAAAGAATATGGTTTAGGACATCAGTTACTTATGGGCCATGTGATTGAATGAGGTTGATGTTCAAGTCTCTATCAATTATTAATGGATATTCAATTAGTTTATCGCTTATTATTAACCCTTAAACTGTCCAAACGCAGATCTACGTTTATGCGCGTAGCACAATGAACTTTCTATTTTACGTGCTTTCTTATGTAAAAAAAAACGTAGATCTATGTTTGGAGTGCTATGCACGTGAACGTAGATCTACGTTTGGACAATTTAAGGGTTAAAGATAGAAAATTGAAGGTGAACATAGATAAGAGTAGGGTGATGAGGGCATCAAATGATTTAGATAAAGAAAAATTGGATATCACATTAGAGGGAGGGAGTATGAAAGAAGTGAATGTTTTCAGATATCTGGAAGTTGATTTGTCAGTGGAGGGTTTATGAAGGATGAGATTAACCACAGAGGCAAAAAGAATGTACACTCTTATATGGGTATGAAGCATGGGTTTGTAAATGCTGCAGCGAGGAGGCAGCTGGAGGCAGTGGAGATGTCCTGTCTAAGGGCAATGTGTGAAGTAAATATTATGCAGAGAATTCATAGTGTGGAAATTAAGAGTAGGGAAAGAAAGACAAGGTAGGGGTCGTTCTTGAAAAAGTTGGAGGGAGGGGGTAAAGGAGGTTTTGTGGGCAAGGGCTTGGGCTTCCAGCAAGTGTGCATCAGTGTGTTAGATAGGAGTGAATAGAGACAAATAGTTTTAAGGACCTATCGAGATGTTGGAGTATGAGCAAGGTAATATTTTGTGAAGGGTTTCAAGGAAACCAGTTAGCCAGACTTGAATCATGGAAATGGGAAGTACAATGCCTGCACTTTAAAGGAGGGGGTTTGGGAATTGGCAATTTGGAGGGACATCTAAACTGTCGTATCTGAGCGCCTCTGCAAAGACAATGATTATGTATGAGTGTGGTGAAAGTGTTGAATGATGATGCAACTTTTTTTTATTCTTTTTGGGTTTTGTCTTTCTTTTTGGGTCACTCTGCCCCGGTAGGAAACAGCTGACATGTAAAAAAAAAAAAAAAAAAAAAAAAAAAAAAAAAAAAAAAAAAAAAAAAAAAAAAAAAAAAAAGTCTTTCAGATTATCACCAAAGATTTGTATTTTTATGTGAAAATTTGTAAACAAGCTCCCATTGGACTGGGGGACTAAGTTTTGGATGTAAATTGTGCAAATGTGTATTCCTAAGTTTTTTTTCTGGGCAGGTTGAAAAAAATACACAACACTTTAAATTTCAATTTCCCTTTTAATCATCCTACAGCAATGAAGGTTGGTACCCAAAAAAGTTATATTTGCTTATAAATCAGGTTTTCCCCAGTTTCCCTTTTTAAAAATATTCAAAGTTAAGTTTGCATTATGACATAGGAACACAAGTGCCTACTGTACTTCAAGATCCTGGCATTGTAGTTAAATAAGAGATGCGTTTGGTGTTACTGAAAGATAGTTAAAGCTTAGGCTAGTGTATAATATTTGCTGTCTTGGTATGTAAGTGAAGAATTATTACGGATCGTTCAGGATCAATATTAGCTTCTCGGACTGTAATATGACAATAAGGAATTAACATTAGGTACTTAGTTATCAAAGAAGTTTGGCCAGAGAGTCTAGCCCTTAATGACTTACTTCACCTGTGCCTTCAATGTGGCATTTTACTAATACTGAAAAGGCCCCGCTTTTCGGCGTTTTGCCTTATTGTGTTCACGCTAATACGGTGATCTCAAATATGATCAAAACTTTCTATAGGCAAGTGTTCTTTCAAATACGGCACGTGCCCCCCATTTGTTTTAATTCTCATGAGCACACCCTATTATGTAATAATAATCACCTTGGAAACAGTAAATGTCTAGTTTTACGTAAATATAAACATTTTCATTAATTCATCTATGATATTTTCTTGAAAATTATATAAGAAACATGTTATATAGCTTATAAACATACTGTTTATATGCTTTGGAGGTGTGGTTGCTGAGTGGAGGGAAAACATTACATAATACTAATAATAAATACCCTTAGGCACATTAAATGTCTTATTTTACGTTAATATAGACATTTTCATTAATCCATCTATGATATTTTTCAAATTTTTATAAGAAACATTTACATAGCATATAAACATTTTAGGTTTATATACTATGGAGGTGTAGTAGCCAGGTGGAGGGGAAACATTACGTTACTCCCCTTAATACATAACACTTTTGTTTACATTTCTCGGCTTGAATTATTCATTACTTTTTCCTTTGTTTATGACAGAATCTAAAGGTAGTTGTTAGAAACAATTAAACTCAGTGAACATGGTATGTCGATGGGAATAATAGGGCTCTGGGCCGCATTAAAAAATCGGTAGCTATGTAGGTAGGTGTAGGTATGTAGCCCAGGTGGACTACATACCTACATTATTATTATAACTGATAATTATACATATGAGTAGCTGTACCTAAGTATGCCTTCACTCAATGCATCATTTCTTCTAAAAATAATGTTACTTGAGAATGGGAGTGTTTCTCTTTATTTATTCTACTGTATCAAGTGGAGACAACCCAACACAACGTAAAGTGACGAAAACCAGACGCGTTTGTCTGGTTGTTTACATTACGTGTGGGTGGGGTGGGGAGGGCTGCCCTTCCTGGCTACCCATACTTCCTAACCTGACTTCCTAAAAATAAAACTCACCTCTCACCCTACATTAAGACTACAAATATTTTAAGGTAATTAATGAATGTGCTGTAAATATATTTTATCACTCTGGGGAGCTTTAATTAAATATCGTAGTACATTACGTGTGGTGGGGTGGGGAGGGCTTCCCTGGCTGGATTCCATACTTCCCAAACCTGACTTCCTACAAATAAAACTCACCTCTCACTCAACATTAAGACACAAACATTTTAAGGTAATTACTGAATGTACTGTACATATATTTTATCGCTCGGGGGAGCTTTAATTAAATTAGTATATTATTTTGTGGGTGGGGTGGGCTGACCTGGCTGGCTACCATACCCCCCAAAACCTGACTTCCAAAAAATTAAACTCACCTCTCACCCTACATTAAGACACAAAATTTTAAGGTAAGTAATGGGTGTACTGTGCATGTATTTTACTTTTTAATGTTTTTAATGCCTATTTATATTGCCAACGTAATATATTTTTAGTGTAAATTTGTTACCTGACATTTATATGCATTTATAAGTGGAAAAAATGGCGTTCTGCTTTCCGGCGATGTCTGCTTTCCAGCAGCAGCCTGGAGCCTAACCTGCCGAATAAGTGGGGCCCTACTGTACTATTAAGTTTCCAGCTCTCAATATCAAATATTTATATGTAAAGAAACAATACAGACATAGGTAAGGAACAATGTACTTATTATGTACAAGTAACACTTTACAAGTTTCATATTACTTTATCTACCTTAAGTACCTGATGCACACCCAGTAATTGTAAGCAGACAACTTTTTAATCAATATTAAAAATAAGCAACTGATTAAAGTTGTTAAGCCCCAATTGCAGAGGATAATTAGGATAAATAATACTGTATGTACCTAACACTAGAGCTAAATTTGTTCAAATTTACCTGGATGCTAATAAGACCAGATCTGCAGGGAAGAACTTGTTGTTATGGACCTTAACAATATCGCCAACTTGAATGTGTCGCCACTTGATCCACTGCCACTGACCATCTTAAGAACTTCAATTTCACGTTTAATTTTAATTTATCGTCTGCTCTATGACGTTTTCGAAAAAAAAAATGAAAGCAGGTCTGCCAAAAGTATAAAACCTATCCCCACTGAAAAGAAACAAGAGAGAAAGTGCAATGACATCCAGGAATGTGGAAGATTATATCAACAGAAGGAGAGGTTGATACAGTTGTGGGGCCAGTACTCAAGTGGGAGACACAATGCTGCTGTTAAGGTACATGGTAATATTCATTCAGGTCAACATCCCTGGGTGTTAGTTGAATGTGTGGGTTAATTCCCAAGGTTGTTAGTACCTGGTTAGGGTTGGGCTTCTTTAAAATTTACCTCCAATGAATTGATGGTAGGCAGCAGAGGTTTGAAGAAAAGAAATTTGTAGATAATATTTACTATCTTGTTGTTGGCAGTCTCATCATCTGCCCCATTTGATGCACGTTAAACTCTCCTTCCCACCTCTTGCTTGCCTTCCTCCATCCCTGCCTAATCTGTTCCAACATACCCTCCATTTCCTGTCTTGTCTTTGCGGCTGAGGCCATCATGGACACAACATTCTTATCATCGTATTAAATTTTTCATCACAACTAAACTAAAATTCCTTTATGAGTACTGTAAATCATACCTCAACATTATCATGACTGATGCCCATTGTAACTTAAGGGAAAACTGTATATGAAAGTCAAGAGTGTATTTGCAAGGATTATACTAAAAACATTAGCTGACATCTCTTCTCAGAATATAGTAAAGGACTTTTTATCTGACCTCTCCGAATTAGCAAACACTTTGGCATGAACCTATGACAACCCCATATAGAAACAGGATTATGACTATGGTTTAAACCGTGGACTGTCGCGGCAGTTATATATAAGTCTTACAAGGTTCGTGTTTGAGTTGGAGTGAGGAAGAGACAGTTGTGAGTGTGGGGAAGTTCGTTGAGGCAGTAGGTAAAATGAAAGGGGGTAAGGCAGCCGGGATTGATGGATAAAGATAGAAATGTTAATGCCGGTGGGAGGATTTAGTTTGTGTGGTTGGTGCAATTATTTAATAAATGTATGGAAGAGGGTAAGGTACCTAGGGTTGGCATGAGAGCATTGATAGTCCTTTGTATAATGGCAAAGGGGATAAAAGAGAGTGCTAAAATTATAGGGGGATAGTCTGTTGAGTGTACCTGGTAAAGTGTATGGTAGGTTATTAATTGACAAGAATTAAGAGTAGACGGAGAATAGGGATAGCAGATGAACAAGGAGGCTTTAGGAAGAGCGGGGTGTCGTGGTCCAGGTGTTTACAGTGAAACAATATTTGCGAACAGTATTTAGATAAGGCTAAAGAGGTCTTTGTGGCATTTAAGGTTTGGAAAAGGCGTATGACAGGGTGGATAGGGGGGAATGTTGGCAGATGTTGCAAGTGTAGGTGTGTAGGAGGTAGGTTACTGAAAGCAGTGAAGAGTTTATACGAGTATAGTGGGATCAAATTAGAGTATGTTAGGAAAGAGGGAAATTTGTTCCCAGTAAAAGTAGGCCTTTGACATGGATGTGTGATGTCACCGTGGTTGTTTAATATATTATAGATGGGGTTGTAAGAGAAGTAAATGCGAGGGTCTTGGCATGAGGCGTGGAGTTAAAAAGTTAAAGAATCACACACAAGGTGGGAGTTGTCACAGCTGCTCTTTGCTGATGACAATGTGCTCTTGGGAAGATTCTGAAGAGAAGTTGCAGAGATTGGTGGATGTATTTGGTGGGTGTGCAAAAGAAGAAAATATAAAGGTGAATACAGGAAGAGTTAGGTTTTGTGGATAACAAAAAGATTAGGTGATGAACGATTGAATATCAGATTGGAGGGAGAGAGTATGGAGGAGGGAACATATCAGGTATTTGGGAGTGCGACGTGTCAGCGGATGGGTCTATGAAATCATGAGGTGAATCATAGAATTGATGAGGGGAAAAGAGTGAGTGGTGCACTTAGGAGTCTGTGGAGACAAATAACTTTGTCCACTCAGAGGATAGGAGTTGAGAGAGGCAAAGAGGGGAATGATATGAGAGTATTAGTTTTCACCAACGCTATTATATGGGTGTGAAGCGTGGGTGATGAATGTTTGCGCGAGGAGGAAGGTGGATGGAGGCCAGTGGGAGTGTATGTCTGAGGGAATGTGTGGTGTGAATATATGCAGAGAATTCGTTGTTTGGTAGTTAGGAGGAGGTTTTGGATTACCAAACTGTTGTTCAGAGGGGCTGAGGAAGGGTTGTTTAGGTGGTTGGAACATTGTAGATGAGAATGGAGCGAACGGAATGACTTCAGAGTGTATCGTCTGTAGTGGAAGGATGGCGGGGTAAGGGGTCGGCCTAGGAAGGTTTGGGGAGGGGGTTAAAGAGGTTTTGTGTGCGAGGGGCTTGGACTTCCAGCAGGCATGCGTGAGAGTGTTTTTTGATAGGGAGGAGTGGAATGGAAGACAAATGGTTTTTTGATACTTGACGTGATGTTGGAGTTGTGGCAAAAGTTAAATTTATGAAGGGATTAGGCGAAAACCGGCAGGCCGGGACTTGAGTCCTGGAGATGGGAAGGTACTGTGCCTGCAACTTGAAGGTGGGGTGTTAATGTTTGCAGTTTAAAAAACTGTAGTGTAATATGCACCTTCTGAGCAAGACGTGATGGAGTGAATGATGGTTGTTGAAAGTTTTTCTTTTTTTATGGCCACCCTGCCTTGGTGGGTATCGGCCGCTGGATAATAAAAAAACACAAAAAAAAAAAAAAAAAAAAAAAAAAAAAAAATTTACTCATAAATTCTAGCGGCTTCGATATACAAGCAGGAGGAAGGCTGGTAGGCCTACATCGTGAGAGAATGGGTCTGTGTGGTCAGTGTGCACATATAAAAAAAATCCTGGGCACAGCAGTGCAAAATGAGGAAAAAAAACTCCGACCGTTTCTTTTTAATTAAAATGCCGACTTTGAGGTCTATTTTTTTCGTATAGTCATTATGGTTGTATTATCGTTTTGTTGGTCTCATTTGATAGAATGGAAAGACATATTATAGAATTAGAGTTAATTTTGATTGATTTTACTATAAAAAGAACCTAGATATGGAAGCTCTCAATAGGGGAAATGTCTTGATTTTTGCCAATGTTCAAAAAGTAAGCAAATGATGCCATTTTACAGTAAATGTCCAATAGCATTCTAATATGCCCCAGTCATGAATGGGTTGATGTTATATTATACAATTATTACAGTATTGCAGTAGTCTGACATAATAGTAAGTTTTCAATTTTTTTGTTTGATAAAAATTCTAAATAGAAAGCAAGGTAATATCAGAGGGGCATGGAAACAGATGATGAGCAAGTAAATGTATTTTAGAGCAGGAATGTCTGCATTGTTCATTCTGTGACCTTATTTGAAATGTCATTATTTTTTAGTTTTGTGAAATTGGCCAAATTGCAATTTCTGGAAACATTATTAGGTTGTTGAAATCAGTATAAATGGGCAGTTTCTTGTACTCAATCCGATAGAAAAAATGGCAGTGAAAAGTTCTAAAGAAATAGCTATGAGTTTGTGCGACTGGAACAATGGAATTAGCCAAAATGTTACTTTGCTCACACTCCAAAACAGCATGTCAAGTATTAAATACCATTCGTCTCCATTCATTCCTATCAAACACAGCTCACGCACGCCTGCTGGTAGTCCAAGCCCCTCGCACACAAAACCATCCTTTACTTCCCTCCACCAACCTTTCCTAGGGCCGACCCCTACCCGCTTCCTTCCATATACAGGACTGATACACTCTTTCGAAGTCATTATGTTATCGCTCATCTCTATAATGTCCGAACCACCCTCACAACCCTTCTCCGCAGCCCTCTGGCAAACGTTTTGTAATCCGCACCTCCTCCTAACTGCCAAACTTTGAATTCTCTGCATTTATTCACACCACACATTGCCCTCAGTCATGTAAATCTCCACTGCCTCCAGCCTTCTCCTCGCTGCATCATTCATCAACCCATGCTTCACACCCATATAAGAGTGTTGGTAAAACTATACTCTCATACATTCCCTCTTTGCTCCAAGGACAAAGTTCTTTGGTCTCCACAAATCTAAGTGACCAACGCTCACCCTTTTCCCTCATTCAATTCTAGGATTTTCACCTCTTCCCTTCATAGCAACCATCTGTGACACGTGCCACTCCACATATATTGAATACATCACCTCCTCCCATACTCTCACCTCCAATCTGATATCCAATATTTCATCCCTTATCTTTTTGTTTTTTCCTCATAACCTTACTCTTTCCTGTTATTCACTTTTAATTTTCTTCTTTTGCACAACCCTACCAAATTCATCCACCAATCTCTGCAACTTCTCTTCAGAATCTCCCAAGAGCACAGTGTCATCAGCAAAGAGCAAACTGTGAAAACTCCCACTTTATGTGTTGATTCCCTATCTTTTAAACTCCACGCCTCTTGTCAAGACCCTGCATTTACTTCCTCATTACAACCCCATCTATAAATATATTTAAAAAACCACGGGTGACATCACACATACCTGGTCTAAGGCCTACTTTTACTGGGA